CTGTGTGGGGGAGAGGCCACCGGTGGTTGGCTGGCCTGATTCGATAGGGGCGGGGGGGGGGATTGGGCACCAGAATGGCCAGGGGAAGGGTCCTGATCTAGCCAGGACTGGTTGGGGGCGAAGGGCTGACCCCTGATTGGGCTGGTTGGCTGGCTGCAGTGCGCATCATAGCAACTGGTCATTCCAGTCATTTGGGTCATTCTGGTTGCTTGATATCTATATCTATATCTATCTATCTATCTATCTATCTATCTATCTATCTATCTATCTATCGATATCTATATCTATATCTATATCTATCTATATCTATATATCTATATCTATCTATCTCTCTCTCTATATATACTAGAGGCCCGGTGCACAAAAATTTGTGCACTCAGGGGAGGGGTCCCTCAGCCCGGCCTGTGACCTCTCGCAATCTGGGACCCCTCGAGGGATGACCACCTGCTGGCTTAGGCCTGCTCCTCGGGGGATTGGGCCTAAGCTGGCAATCAGACATCCCTCTGACAGCCCGGGAGCCCTTGGGGATGTTCACTTGCCAGCGGGGAGCAGGCCTAAGCTGCAGTCTGACATCCTTAGCACTGCTGAGGTGGGAGAGGCTCCCACCACCACCGCTGTACTGGCAGTCATCAGCCTGGCTTGTGGCTGAGCAGAGCTCCCCCTGTGAGAGCACACTGACTACCAGGGGACAGCTCCTGCATTGAGCGTCTGCCCCCTGGTGGTCAGTGTGTGTCATAGTGACCAGTCATTCCCAGTCGTTCTGCTGTTAGGGTCAGTTTGCTTATTACCCTTTTATTATATAGGCTAGAGGCCTGGTGCACAGGTGGGGGCCTGCTGGTTTGCCCTGAAGGGTGTCCCGGATCAGGGTGGGGTCCCGCTGGGGTGCCTGGCCAGCCTGGGTGAGGCGCTAATAGGTGTTTGCAGGCTGATCACACCCCCTTCAGGGTGGGGGTCCCCACTGGGGTGCCTGGCCAGCCTGGGTGAGGGGCTGATGGCTGTTTGCAGCTGGTCACACCCCCTTCAGGGTGGGGGTCCCCACTGGGGTGCCTGGCCAGCCTGGGTGAGGGGCTGATGGCTGTTTGCAGGCTGGTCAAGCGCCCCCCAGTGGGGACCCTCACCCCATGGAGGTTTGGCCAGCCTGGGTGAGGGGCTGATGGCTGTTTTCAGGCTGGCCACACCCCCTTTACAGTGGGGGGTCCCCACTGGATTTCCTGGCCAGTCTGGGTGAGGGGCTGAGGGCCTTTTTTCGGTTGGCCAAGCCCCCCTGGCAATGGAAGCTCCCAGCCTCTCCTTTTTTCTTTTTTTCTTTTTTATTCTGAGATTTATTTACCTTCTATAATTGAAACTTTGTTGCCTTCAGTGGAGCTCAGAGCTGGCTGGAAGTTTGGCTTCCTCCATTTCCAGGGGCAACCAAGCCTCCTGCTTGCTCCAGCTCCGTAGCTGCCAGCCGCCATCTTGGTTGGGTTAATTTGCATATAGTTGCTCTGATTAGCTGGTGAGCGTGGCTTAAGTCGTAGCAAAGGTATGGTCGATTTGCATGTTTGTCTTTTATTAGATTAGATACCACCTCTTTTTTATTCATTTGTCTCTTGTTGGGCAGTTCAATTGCTTCCATATCTTGGCTACCATAAGTAACACTACAATGAACATAGAAGTGCATAAAGTCTTTCAAATAGGTGTTTTAAGTTTTGAATATATACCCAGAAGTGGAATCGCTGGATCATAAGACATTCATTTTTAACATTTTTGAGGACCCTCTATACTGTCTTCCATTGTGCTGTACCAATTTGTATTCCCACCAACAGTGAACGAGGGGTCCCTTTTCTCCACATCCTCACCAACAACTTGTTTGTTGATGTATTGGTGACAGCCATTCTGACAGGTTAGGTGATATCTCATTGTAGTTTGTTTAATTATTTGTTTATAAATTTTTTCAACTACAGTTTACATTGAATACCATTTTGCACCAGTTTCAGATATACAGCAAAGTCGCTAAAAAACCATGCATTCTTCATTGTGGTTTTAATTTTCATTTCTCTGATGATTAGTAACACTGAACATCTTTTTATATGTCCATTGGCCATTTGTGTGTTCCCTTTGGAGAAGCGTCTATCCAGGTCCTTTGTTCATTTTTAAATTGGATTGTTTGTTTTTTATCGTGTTGAGTTTAATGGGTTCTTCATAAATTTTGGATATTAACCCCTTACAGATATATCATTGGTGAATATGTTCTCCCATTCAGTAGGTTGTCTTTTTGTTTTGTTGATGGTTTCCTTTGCTGTGCAAAAAATTTTAGTTTGATGTAGTCCCATTTGTTTACTTTTTCTTTTGTTTCCATTGCCTGAGGAGATATATCAGAAAAAAATTTTGTTCTGAGAAATGTCAGAGATTTTATAGCCTATGTTTCTTTCTAGGATTTTTATGGTTTCAAGTCTTACATTGTCTTTAATCCATTTTGAGTTTATTCTTGTATATGGTGCAAGATGGTGGTTTAGTTTCATTTTTTTTCTTGTATCTGTTCAATTTTCCCAGCACTATTTATTGAAAATATTGTCTTTACCCCATTTTATATTTTTGTCTTCTTTGTCAAATATTAATTCACCATATAGGCATGGGTTTATTTCTGGACTCTCTAGTCTTTGTGTGTTTTTTTTTAAATTTATTTCTTTATTTAAAAAAAATCTTTATTGTTGAGAGTATTACAGATGTCCCCCTTTATCACCTCATTGTTCCCCCTCCACCCAGTTCCTGCCCCACCCAAGTCCAGGAATGTGGGAAATCTTTCCATTTATTTAGATATTTTGAAATTTCTTTGAACAATGCTTTAGGTTTTCAGGTCTTTTTTTTTTTTTTTAAATATATTTTATTGATTTTTTTACAGAGAGGAAGGGAGAGAGATAGAGAGTTAGAAACATCGATGAGAGAGAAACATCAATCAGCTGCCTCCTGCACACCTCCTACTGGGGATATGCCCGCAACCAAGGTACATGCCCTTGACCGGAATCGAACCAGGGACCTTTCAGTCCGCAGGCCGACACTCTATCCACTGAGCCAAACCGGTTTTGGCGGTTTTCAGGTCTTTTTAAAAAAAATTTATTTTTATTGATTTCAGAGAGGAAGGTAGAGGGAGAGAGAGATAGACACATCAATGATGAGAGAGAATCATTGATTGATTGCCTCCTGCATGCCCCACAACCTTGGTTGCAGGCTTGATCCCTGGCCTTGGTTGGGCGAGTGTGGAAGGCAACCAATCTATGTGCCTCTCTCACACTGATGTTTACCTCTCTCTCTCTCCTCCCTTCCCTTCATTCTCTCTAAAAGAACCCCCCCCCCCCAAAAAAAAAACAATGGCATGGCTGGTATGGCTCAGTGAACCTATGAACCAGAAGGACATGGTTTAATTCCCAGTTATGGCATATGCCAGGGTTTTGAGCTCAATCCCCAGTGTGGGGCATTCAGGAGGCAGCTTATCAATGATTCTCTCTCATCATTGATGTTTCTATCTCTCTCTCCCTCTCCCTTCCTCTCTGAAATCAATACAAATATATTTTTTAAAAATATCAATGGAAAAAATATCCTCAGGTGAGGAATAAAAAAAATCTATTTGATCATGATATAT